TTCTTCATTCCCTCCGGGACTCTCGCAGGTTGGTTCAAGGCTGGTGCTCTCCAGCAGGGAACTCCCAGGGTTCCCTCAGCTCATGAGAGCGGTCTCCAGTGACGGGAATGGGTGCCGCGTTGATCCCCAGTGGGTGGGTGACCGGTGTTCCTGCTTCTCAGTCTGCTTGCCAGAGGTGGCTCCCTCTGGATGGGGGACTTCAACGTCCCTGCTCACTGCCTTTATCGTAAAACTGGATATGCACCAAACAGTCGTTCAAACAGAGGACTGTCCTCTGCCAAACAGGACCCACGGCCACCCTCCAGCTCCCTCTTAACCCCATGCGAACTGGAGTGGGTGCTCTAGTACATGCTCAGCCCTTTTGAGTGGCAAGAGCCCAACATGCTCCACCAAGAAGCTTGTGTGTCTGGTCTTTTTCTTATGAAGAAGTCCTGATCAACCCCATGAAAGTCTGCAGACCACAGTCTGAAAAGTACATCTCTCTCTCTCTCTCTGCGTGTGTTTGTGTGTGTGTGTGTGTGTGTGTGTCTGTGTCTGTGTCTGTGTCTGTGTGTGTGTGTGCACCATCTCCCCATCTGCCAAGGGGATACAAATGTGTGGGAAGCAGTAAGGGAACTGGTGTGGGGGAATGCGCCAGTTGGGGGTGGGCGCCTCAGACCCCTTCCCAGGCTCTCTGATTCTCAAGTGCAACGCCAACCCTCCCATTTCCTGAGTCGGTCATTTTCCCAGCCACTGTTGACTTCAGGGCTCAGAGTCAGGCTGGGACAAAGAAGAGGGGGCAACAGCCAGCTGTGAATGTTTGCCTCGGAGAATAAATCAGACGGGGAACACAATCCCCATCCGTTTGTCTCTCTCATTCTTCCTTGGAAATGCACCCATTGCTCACATTAGGAGGGAGCAAAGCTGCTGGTCAGAAGCCCCACGTTGAGATCAAGAACTTATCGGTTTCCCCCTCCGTCCTTGCTTTGGGAGGGTGCGTCTGTGCTGTGGGTTTTCCACCCTGCGGTAAACCACAGATACAAAAGCGTGTTGTTACCACGTGGTTCATTTCCTGAAAACAATACGCCGGGCTGAAAAGCTGGAAGAAAAATTCCATTTAATATAAGAAAACAATGGCAGTTTTCAATGCCTAAGTCTTTCCCCAGCATCTATGAGGAAGGGCCATGAAAAAGCCATCAAAAATGAAAGAGAGAGAGAGAGAGATGATTGATGTGAACCCGTTCGAAGTGTAAAAATAAATAGGCAGGATTTTATAGCTAAGGGATAACCCTAAACACGGTAGTGTGACGGAATGTCTTTGGCTGGTATCCTACACGCACTTCCCTGGGCATCCATCCCATTGCACTTAATAGGACTCACATGTGCTCCAAGTGTCCTGTTAAGACTGTTTCGTTTTGGAACAAAGAAATCAACGTTTCTAAAAGATCCAGGTTGTGACTGTTTTGTAGCTCAAGTATGGGAGTTTTCTTTTTCCCCATATGGGGTAATAAATCCATACCCATGCTGGTCCTCACGGTGAGTTGACATTCTCTCTCTGCTAGAGGAGGCTCGCCCCTACTCTCCATTCCACTTTGAAATGTTAAACAAAATTATACACGGTGGTTCATAAATTCCCAAATAACTCCAGGCAGAGATACAAACTTAAGGAGGAGTTTCCCTGAAAAACACAGGGTACTAGTGACTTAATTTGATATCAGCCTTTATGTTGTGAGCCTTCAAATAAGTTCCCTTGTGTATCACAGACACTTGCTGAAATCCTGTCACTTAGAGTAGTAAGTTGCGCAAGAGTACACCCCTTGAATCAGTGGCGCTTGACTTTTGATGGGTTTACTCTAGTCATGACTTACAAGGCTAAAGTAAGTGGCAAGTAGATAGTTGAATCCATGCAGCTTAAGGAGTCATTGAGTCACTGAATGTCCACTGATTCAATGGGCCTACTCTTGTGCCGCTGACTCTGGTAAGCAACAAGATTTCAGCCAGTGTGTTAGTATGGAATGGGCTGGATAGACCAGGATTCAGACAGAGCATAAACAGAATCTGCACAATCCCGGCTGCTACATTTGGTTTTTAAGTTCTATGTTTGTACCCTTCATGCTAGCGGAGGTGGGTTTGAAGGGGTTATGGCAGCTGCTCTTGAAAGCTTCGATTTGAGAAAGCAAGACAGGGACAAGAAACTGCCGTCGGGTTTTTTTGGGGGGGGGTCGTGGCAATGTGGGACTGATTCAAAGATCTGATTCTGTTCTTATTTTGCAGCCCTCGTCGTGCGCTTTCTCACCAAGAGATTTATTGGAGACTACGAAGCGAATACTGGTACGTTTGGATTGAGAAATTGCTTTTCAGGTTCTGAATTAACCAGCATTTTTTAGCCTGGCTCCAGAGTATTGAAGGGCGGCCAGCAGGGGTGGGATGGGGGGATCTGAAAGGTGGTTGAATAGCAAAGTCGGAAGTGTAGGCACTCATCCTGACCTTCCCCATAGCCAACTCCTGAACAAGGAGAGGCCAAAAGTAGCAACTGGATTGGTTTATATTGACAAATGAGGAGCAGGTCTTTTGTGAAGTTAATGGCTCTTAGTCACCCTCAGATTCTGCATTACAAAAGATATGGGTTTGCAACAGTTTATGGGGCAACAATACTCTCCCCTGGCTAGAGTGAAGACTGTAGCTAAGCTCAGAGAAAGCAGGGGAGCTTCGGTGGTGGGGGTAGTGGAAGAGGAACAAGATGGTGTCATCATCTCTGCTACTCAGAAAATTCAGAGCCATTGATGTGGTAAATCCTGGCTTCCCTACAGCCTTCACTCTGGAGCCAATGGTGACAGCACTGAAGGGGTCAAAGAAAGCTGGGCAGAAGAACCTCCGAAGCCGAGTCTCTCGTGGCTTGATTGCTTCCTTCCTTCCTTTCCCCGAAACATCGGGTACCTTCCTTCCAGAAGTATTGGGCCTGCAGCCCCCATCATCCCGACCCTCATGGGTTGGCTGGGGATTATGGGAGTTGTTGTGGAACCCTCCTGGAAGACAGCTAGTTAGGGAAGGCTCAGGCGTGGAAGAAATAAAAGAGGGTAGAGGCTCACGCCATTAGCTCCCAACCTTTCTGGGCACCCCAGGGTTCTGAAAACGGAGTGGGAAACGGTGATTTTCAATGGTCACTTGAACCTGCTGGGGCTCTTTTGGAGCAGAATTTGCAACCCCCGGGTGGAGGGAGCTCCCTTTTGTAAAGTCGCCCTTTGCTTATTTTGCTGCAAGGAAAGATACCCTCCAGGCATTTTAAAGGTGCATGTGTTCAGTTTAAAGCCTCTGGCTAGGAAAACGATAATAAATCAAAGCTTTGTTGTTTATAATTCATTACCCCCACCCTTTTAAAAAAAGAAAGAAAAAGGTCTATGCTATTTCCACCACTCTGGTGGAAAAGGATCAGAGGGAAGTCTTTGGCTCGACACAGCCTGGCCATCAAAAGAAGCAGGATCAAAGCATCATTGCTTGGATCGAAAGGGGGCCAAGTTCCGAAGCGGCTCTGCTTTTCTTTTGCCCTGCCTGAGTCACAGAACCCGCTGGATGTCCTCCTGAAAAGATCGGTTCAAGATAGATATTTCTGTTCGCTTTTAATCTTCTCTAGAAATGAAATGAAAACTGCTGTTACGGCTGGAAGAGAACGGTGTGCTGTGAAAAGAGATTAGAAAAGTTATTTAGAGAAGGCACTACAACTCCCAAAATGCCCCAGCCAGGAGAAAAAAAAAGGGAACTTTACCAAGTTCTAGTGTAGGGGCATCCTGTAAGACAGAGGGAGAGGAAGACTCTTCCTGGTATGGGATGAGGCGACCGTGGCTTTGCTCGGATCCATGGCCATGAGGGGTTGCCAACTGACCAGGTACAAACGAGCCTGATGGGCTGCTATGCATTTAACAACAGTTTGGTCTTCAGTCCTGTCATGTTTTTTCCAAGCCTGCAGGTCAGCATTGCCACTGGCTAAAACCTGCAAAATAAACTATTGTATTGGTAAAAGTAAAGCTCTAGCCAAGATTTTGTACCGGAAGTATTCCTGAAAAATGTTCTGTTATTAAGTTAGCGTAAGGTGTAACTTCCACCCTTTATAACATTGTTTTTTCTCTTTTTTTGCCCAGTGAGCGTTTTTGCAGAATGCACTTCTAGGCGATAAACTTTATGAGGTTAATCACATCCTGGATCAGTTCGGCTTCTAGGCCTTTACCAGGATGTGGTAAACCTGAGATCCTGTTTCATGGGGTCATTTTCTAGACGAAAAGAAAAAAAAGGAAGGGTGGGTGGGTTACAAGTTGAGTCTGAGTCATTAAAAAAAAGTGCTTTGGTGTAATCATCCTCATCATCTGTGGGTTTGCTCCCCCCCTTCCTAGGTGCACTATATTCAAGAAAATTCACTATTGATGGAGAACAGGTGTCCTTGCAAGTTCAGGACACGCCTTTTGTTTCATTGGAGGTAAGATGGATGCTTTAGAGCGGCTTCCGAACTGCCGTTTAACAGAGGGATGCAAATCTTGTTGGTAGGGGAGAATGCGGCATCAGACAGGAGAATGTTTTCTTTAATTATTATATTAATTATAATAATCATTGGAGGTAAGATGGATGCTTTAGAGCGGCTTCCGAACTGCCGTTTAACAGAGGGATGCAAATCTTGTTGGTAGGGGAGAATGCAGCATCAGGCATCAGGGAGGAGAATGTTTTCTTTAAAACTGCGAGGAGAATAGAGGAGAGGGTTTCTCCACTGTCCTCCTACTGTCACAGCAATGCATGGAATATGTCCCAGGGTCACCGCTCCCCCATGGCCCTCTTTGGGGGCAAGCTAAGGAGCCACACAGACTGCCGAACGGGATCTCCAGGAGGGCTCCTGGATACCCCAAATGAACTGCAGACCTAGCGCTTTGCCATAAAGGAGTGGATCGATTTGGAGAACGGGTGGGAGGGGTTGCTTTTACTTAAAACACATGTGGTTGTTGGAGCGGCACAAAAAGTGAACCAAATAGTGAGCTGTACACTCATCTGGTTGCCCCACCCCACCCCACCCAGTCTCGAGAGAAAGGATCAGGTAATTTGGATCCCTGTCTTGGAGGTTTTCCTGACACAGATAGGAATCACCTACATAGAGCGGTACCAGTTGTGGCCCATGGATGGCATTATGAAGTCCTCTGGGGCATTATTTTGCCTAAAATGTTCTTCTTTGACCGACCGAGCAAGAGGCAATGAGATAAGAGAGTTTGTTGGCTGATTATCTGCTGTCTGAAAATAAAAATTAAAGAAAATCACATGCCCGCTTAATGGCTGGGAGTGCAATTAAAATAAAATTATCTCAGAGAAATTTCCTTTCTGCCATATTCCGTTCCCATTGTTATTACATGCAGTTCCTTCCAAACTCGGATGGGATGGGGCTGGCTGGAGGATCTTGGGGTTGGAATCCAGAAAACCTAACATTTCCAGGCTCTGGATATAACAAAGGAAAATATCTGAAACAACTTCCCCGCCCCCCATACCCTAGTCTCTGCAATAATCAGATATTCTTCTGATGGGAACACTCTTTTGCCTTGAATTGGAAAAAAGCCATTCTCAGCCGCCAAGTTGAATCTTAAGGGGGAGTCTGTAAAAACCGTCCAGGAGCTGGCTGCACTGCTCAACTTGTCTTTGAAGGCGAGGGATGTTGCTTATGCGATGATCTACTTTTAAAAAATAAACTGGGAAGGGGGGCTTCTGGGAGTTGTAGTCCAGGTCTCGGGTACTGTACCCTAATGGGATCCAGGGGAAAGGCAAAACTGGCTNTAATAATTAATATATATATATTTTAATCCCGGGTTAAACAACAAAGAAACCCAAGCATGTGGCACAGCAATGGTCAGGGAGCACATTTATCGGGCCACCAAATAAACAAAACAAGGACTTCATGAGTTGGTCAGAATTCTTGATTAGAAGGTTGTTGATTCTCTGCCTCTCGGAGCGAAACCCGTTGCCACCACCCCTCCAGATCACTGGTATATATATATTTTAATCCCGGGTTAAACAACAAAGAAACCCAAGCATGTGGCACAGCAATGGTCAGGGAGCACATTTATCGGGCCACCAAATAAACAAAACAAGGACTTCATGAGTTGGTCAGAATTCTTGATTAGAAGGTTGTTGATTCTCTGCCTCTCGGAGCGAAACCCGTTGCCACCACCCCTCCAGATCACTGGTTCCCAACCTTGGGTAACCCAGATGTTCTTGGACTAAAGCTCCCGGGAGCCTTTAGCACTAGCTGTGCTGGCTAGGATTTCTGGGAGTTGTAGTCCAAGAACATCTGGGGACCCTACGGTTGGAAAGCACTGGTTTAGATCCTATAGCATTCACATGCAGCCAGCATGGTTTCTGGAGACTCTAGTTTCTCCACCCAACCCAGATCTGTAGCCGTGTGTGTGGTAAAGAATCCTGGAGATACAACCTACATTTTTTTTGTGATATTTTGGTCGTCCAGCCAAAGTGCTACCCAGCCCTGAGTGTCCACTTCCGTCTTGCCTTTCAATCCTAACACATGTTGTCCTGGTTTCGATAACAGGATGACAACGACGCCATTTGCTGCCAGGAGCAGATAAACCGTTCCATTTACTGGGCGGATGGTTTTGTGTTTGTCTACTCCATCACGGACTACCAGAGCTACCGGGTCATCCGCCCTCTGCACCAGCATATCCGGAAGATCCATCCCAACGCCAACATCCCACTGGTCCTCATGGCCAACAAAGGAGATCTCTTGCGAGCCAGGCAGGTCTCCGCCAGAGAAGGCTGGCAGCTGGCCAAGGAGCTGGGCTGCGCATACTCGGAAGTGTCCGCGCGGGAAAACGGCGAGGGTGTGCACGAGGCGTTCAAGCAGCTGTGTCAAGAGATGAGCAGGATGATCGGGAGCTGCAATGGGGAGAAACGGAGGGGCCTCCATCTCATCCGCCCCAAATCTCCCAACATGCAGGATCTGAAAAGGAGACTCAAGCAAGCCTTGTCTTCAAAAGGGAAAGTGACACCCCCACTCTGAATGATCTTGTCCTGACATCTTGATGGGTGGGGCACGGGAAAAGAAACAACACTATTTATATTTATGACTATTTATGGCTTTTCTTAGCCAGCTTCCTTTGGGATGAAAGACTTCCCTTTTGAAAATGACACTGCAGGGGAGGGGAGGGCCACTCTCTCCTATGAACATTCACAGGATGGGAACTCAGCTTCTTACTGTCATGACAGACTGGTTGGTGTTCATAGCAGCCGATCAAACTGTGTTTCAGCCGTCAGACCTCCTCCTCTCCCATGTCTCAGGAAGACAGTCCCCCTCCCTTAATTTTTTTTCTCCCATTACCATGTGTATGATCCTTCATTTACTTGATTTTTTGCTGTTGAAAAAAAAATTAAACACACACTAGCAATTCAGGCTGAAGTTGGGAGATGGTTGGCGGCACAGGCTCTAGCCAATAGGCACTCCATAGAGGTAGATTTTCAGTTCAGTCACCCTGGAAAGCTGCCCAGTTAGTTTGCACAGACCAGCATGGGTACCTCCTCCAAAACTACAGCTAGTTGGTTATTATCTTTTTGCCCTCCAAGTGCTTGCTTCAGATGGCATGAATAATGTAATTTTTCTCCCTTCTATTGCATTGGTATGTTTGAGAGAAGCCGTTCTAATTTTATCTTCGTCAGCATTAAAGAATGGAATGAATGACTCATTCAGCACTAAGGTCTAAGCCTGTAATGAACCATGAAATGTGATGGTCACCATTCAAGACAGAGTCGAGCTCACTTAAATCCTCTGAAACTCTAGAGTTAAGCGGCTGCTTGCCTCCGTATTGGATTATAACTATTTTGTGTCTCTTTAATGCCATGCTGCAGAACTGTTCTTTGATGACAACTCCCAAATCAATGTAGAAGGAAGGCCACAATCCTCTAAGCACCTTCAGGGAAGACATCAGGAATGTTTTAGTTCCAGAAATATCACTGTGGCAGATGATATTATCGGTTCTACAATGGCATAGCAGGATTTCAGCTGATCAAAGGCAGCTCCCTCCATTCCTGTTTCTGTTAGGATTTCTACACATGGGCTCCTTCAGAGACACTTATATTTCCACCACGGTCGGTCCCCACCCTTCCGTCTTCACCTTCTCGGCTGCCAGCTGGCCTCGTTCTGAACCTTTGAAACGGCCAACCTTCCCCCTCCCTTTCTGCGCAAAGGTTTGAGCGACAACATCCTTGGTTCATATGTTCTTTTCTATTGTCTTCTAGATACGGTATGTACTGGCCCGCCTCCCAAGGCCGGTGGGAGTCCTTCGGGGGGTTTGTATCTTCCTTGGTCAATGAACAAAGGGAATTCGAAATTTGAACAGCACAAAGCCTCCAACGTTGGCCACGTGTCACGATTCCAAGGGAAATGTAATTGCTCCCACATTTATGACTGGGTTGCTTGGTTTTGGTTCAAGCTACGCCTCATTGTTTCCTGCTTTCTGTGGCCGCACTCCCGTCGCCAGCTCAGTTATGTGTAAAGAAGCTGGTGTGCCCTCGTCAGAGAACGTAAATTCACACAGGGAAGGAATTTCCAAACGGTGTCACCCAGCAGGATGCAATGGGCCGCGAGTCCCAAGGAGAAGATTCAAGCATGATTTCAGCAGTTGTGCCAAAGACCCAATGCACAGAGGAGGCTGTGCCATGTGTCTCTGCTTCATTCACTTGATACTTCTTTCTCACCCGTTTCCACCAGGACTGGGTGAGCCTCTGGCTCTCCCAAACGGTGTCACCCAGCAGGATGCAATGGGCCGCGAGTCCCAAGGAGAAGATTCAAGCATGATTTCAGCGGTTGTGCCAAAGACCCAACGCACAGAGGATGCTGCATGATGTGTCTCTGCCTCATTCGCTTGATACTTCTTTCTCACCCATTTCCACCAGGACTGGGTCACTCCTCTGGCTCTCTGCAATGCCTTCGTCTTTATCAGGAGGGGCTCCCATGCAGGGTTCTGAGTAACGTTACACAGAGTAAGGCAACTGTCTCAGGCAGGCAGTACAGGGAATGGTAGTAGAGTCTATTCCTGACAGACACAATTTGAGTGGGGTGGGGTCAAAGAGGCTCCTCGTAGCCTTCAATTTTCAATTTAAACAAAAAAATTTAAACTCAGCCATTACAGCAGACCTGGGCAAAGTGCGGCCCGAGGGCCACATACGGCCCGCGAGCCACTCCTCTCCGGCCCGCCGGTCGTCGCTCCAGTCTGGTGTTCAAGCACTTGTTCAAGCCCAAGACAGACTGGATTTCTCTCACTGGACAAGTTGAACATCAAAACCATTTATAGCTTTTTGTCTAAAGTTGATCAGTTGCTTATCTTTTATTTTTAAGTAAAGTTGGTTCGGTTTGGCCCCCAAACACAGTTCAGATTTTTCATGTGGCCCCCCTATAGAAATGAATTGCCCACCCCTGCATTACAGGCTACAAGAGGGCTTTTATAAAAGTGGAAAACTGCAGCAGGGGAGGTAAAAGGAGACAGCCCTGACCTTCACGGGCCACGAGTTGTGAGGGGGAGCCCATAGCCTCTGGAGATTAGCCTCTTTTTTTCCTGGTCCCTGTCTGAGATGAATACACCTGAACCAGCCAGATGCCTTCAAGGACAGCTGAACGCCCTTTGTGCACGGCACCAGAGGGTGTCCAGGCCAATGCTGGCTTTCACTGCATTTTTGGCATCCTGAACATTACTGGAAGACAGCTTCTCATTTAACAGAAATACTACTTTGTAGAGTAGACCTTTCCACCTGGTCTTTTTTCCAACCTGCCTTAAGGACGGGATGCCTGAAGAACAGGTGACCCTTCAGCCGGCACTCAGATGCCTGGGGACCCAAGAAATAAGGCACGCAGAAGCCAGTCCCCCCTCCCCAAATGGCTTTTGTTATCATGGCGGGAGACTTCCTTCTTAGGCTCTGTTTGGTTTAGGCCTCTCGCTGCAGAGCCGGAGGCTGGCGGCTTCCTTTCCCCAAACTTTCTTACCTAGTAGCCATCGCACCCCGCCTGCCGGCTCTGACCTGACCTCTCTTTAAACAATCCAGCCTTGTTTGCCGAGAAGCTCCCAGACCTTATCTTTTCGCTTTCAAAAACCAAGACCAAACCCCGTCTCATTTTAAAACATTTTCCATTTTATACAAATGCTTTCAAGACCCGTTTTCTGGAAAATCACTCGTAGAGACTTATTGCTTTATTGCCCTGCA